GAGGGCTGCCTTCTGCGGCCCACCTGACCCTCTGAGCTCACTGACCACTGGGGCAGGGGTTGGGGGGGTGGGAGGGCTGCCTTCTGCGGCCCACCCCTCGCGCCCAGTGAGTCACCATGATAAGGGCCACCTGCTGGGCCTCTCCCCCAGCCGGTCATGGTCAGTGCCAGTCTCCATCTGCATCTGTCCGGCTCCGGGCACACCCGGACCCCATGAGGCCAGAGGTGGGGCTCCTGGCCCTTGTGCTGCTTTCTCGGGCTCTGGCACCGCTGAGCCTCCCCCAACCTCACCCCCGCCTGCAGCACCCTTTGGGACAGTGACAGCCCGGCTGCCATCCGTCCACGGAAGACAAGCTAAATGAATCCTGGTCCTCTGTGCTACCGATTACTAAGCAGCCATTAAGAAGGGGTCAATCTCTACGTGCGAATGCGGAAAAGGCTCCAAGATACAGAGCAGGCAGAAGCACGCAGGCAGGTGGCGACAGCTCCCGCGCTAACCGGACAGCCACCGTCCGCCCAGTGGATGGGTGGGGGGAGGGCCGTGCGGAGAGGACAAGAAGCGGTCCGTTCAGTTCCAGTTCGTGTAAATCAGAAATAAAAGACACACACGTATACGCCGACGAGTACCGAAAGATAAGCCCCAGGAGATCGCACACGTCTCTGGAGCTGTCCTGCCGTCTACGGAAGGAAACAGCGCGCACCCTGGGTGTCTGCTGCCTGGGCCCTGCCCTTACCCCCATTTTAGACAGAAGGCCACTGGGGCCCATGGAGGCCAGGCCACTGGGGCCCACGGAGGCCAGGCCACTGGGGCCCACGGAGGCCAGGCCACTGGGGCCCACGGAGGCCAGGCCACTGGGGCCCACGGAGGCCAGGCCACCGGTCCGGCTGGGAGGAGCCCAGCGGGCTCCAAGCGTCCGGTCGGATTCCTCACCCTTTGTGGTTTCCTAACACCGGTTTTTCGTACAGAAAACTAACCTACATACGCTTTCAAATCTTACAAATGCGACCAGTTCTCCAGTTTCCCCGGCCTGTCCCCTGGGGTTCCCTGCTCTTCCCGCCCGGGGACCCGGGGACGCCTTCAGAGAGAGGGCAGCCGAGGAGAGCTAATTACAGACGGGGCTCCACAGCCCGAGAGCAGGGCGGGAGGGTGGGTGCGCGTGGAGGGAGGGCAGGGGCGGGTGGGGGAAGCCCTCCCCACCCCCAGCTGAGACCCCAGCCTAGCAGCCCCGTCCTCAAGCCACGGGTCCTTCCAGAGAAAGTCGCACTCTGGAAAGCCAGCACTGCTCCGGGCAAGAGCCGGCTCTGGGAGCCCGCGGGTGGCCCGTTCAGCATCCTCGGAGGCCGCGCGGTACTGAGCTGCGGGGCCGGCCCTCGCCCCACAGCTCGTGTGTGTATCCGGCCGACATCTGCAGGAAAAAATATTTTAAGAGCACACCGAAGGGGCGCCTGGGTGGCTCAGTCGGTTAAGCGACTGCCTTCGGCTCAGGTCATGATCCTGGAGTCCCGGGA